GCAAAGGGCATATGAAAGTCAATCTGAACATCAGAAAATGCTTTTTTCACTGTGAAGGTGGTCTAACACTGGTACAGGTTGCCTAGAGAGGTTATGGAGTCTCTATCCTTGGAGATATTCAGAACCTAGCTGGACACCATCCTGGGTAACCGGCTCTAGGTGTCCCTACTTGAGTAGGGGGGTTGGGCAAGGTGATCTCCAGAGGTGCCTTCCAACCTCAACCATTCTCTGATTCCGTGATCCTTGCTGTGAGCATGAGATACATAACTGGATCACACCTTACAATTCCTGCATGGCTGGGACACACGTTGTGCTGCTGCAGCCCCTCTCTCGCCTCCAGCCCTGGTGTGGCTGGTCAGCCTGCCTGGCCCATGCCTGGCACATTGAGCAAGTGGTGTCATAGCACAGGGGAGAAAGGGTCTTGGGCATTGCCCACATCACTTAAAGGCAGCAGCAGCATAACACCTGGCCCTTCTTTGTTGTGAAGATTATATCTCCCAGCCCATGTCCCATCTCCCATTAACATCCTTGAAAGATCTGTGCTTGTTCACCCTTTTTTAGGGACCATGGGTTGGCTTTTGAAGGAAGACCATATCAGGAAAAAGCAAATTATGTTTCATTTTTGGCAGAGCTGTGTTCACTTCAAATCAGAATGGAGTTAAGGCTTGGGAGCTTATGTCAGTGCTATTCAAGAGCCAACATTTTGCACGGCCACGTTGCAGAGGATGTTGTTGCCTTGTCTCCAGCTCAAAATAGAGAAGAGAATGCAGACTCTTACCATCTTTCTTTTATGGTGTCTGTTCTGTCTGGTAAGGTGTTGAGTGCCTCCTGGCAATTGCTGACTGCCTTTAGTTCATGTTGGCTTCACTGTGAGATAGTTCCTGATATATACCAGTGTTCCTAAACACACTTGATGACTCACTTCCAATATCTGGTCCAATGGAAAGTCAAGAAGTGGATTAGTTTAAGCCGATCAACTTCTGTGAAACAGAGTAAATATGTAGCTTACTTTATTTAAATCCAGAAATCTCTCCTTGGAGTTGATTGATGCATATGTTCTTTGTTCTGCTTTCCAGAAACCAGAAAGCACTTAAACAGTAGCGTCCTGCAATATGTCCCTCACCTCTTTTGTAATGCAGGTCTAAAGCCTGGATATATTTTGTGGAGCACATTGAAATCTTCTAATGAGACTGACCATCACTGGATCTGTACTTCTGGTCTGACTGGCTTGCTGGCTATGGGTTGCATGTCTGCTGCTCTCACAATCTGTGAAATACTGTATTCAAATGGAAATGGCAGTGCCCTAATTTTTTCGTGCCTCTGGTTTTTATTTTCAAGATGTATTAACCTGCTCCCCTGAGCACAGATGCATAAAGAACACTCATAACATTTGATCATTTTAATGCTTGGCCATTCATTTCTTTCTCTCTCTCCGTGCCACAAACTGACTTCTAGATATATATTGAACTGTATCTCAGACAAGTACATATTAATCATTTTAGCGCTCAATTTCAAGTTCTCTGGAAACAGGAATTCCAGGGGGAAAAAATATAGTCATCACCCAGTATATCATGATAAACCAATATCTGGTGAAGGAACTTTCGTATTTGTCACTTTTAAAGGACAAATAATATTATGTGGCCCTATTTTCTACGTGTTAGCATTCTTTTTCAACAGGTGAGTTTTAAATGCTGACTGTACCTGCTAGCCATGCAGGCAATATAGTGTGGTGAACATGGTATAGCTTTATATAAAGTTGTTGATATGGTCCCTTTGCACTTGTCCTGTGAAATAGCATTATGTGCCTCTAATCAGAGAACCTTCTTCAGAAATTGCATGTAAATCTCGTGTTGTGAAATTTATGCTGAGAAAGGAAATCTTTGAAAGAAATACCTGTTGCCGTGCAGGAATTTCTTCCTACCTGTGTGCTGAGGCACATCTAAAACCAAAGAAGGGAGAATCTTTACTCATTGGTTTTGGAATTGTTTTAATTGTGAAGTAAACTTGAGATGGAAAGCATGTTTGTTCAAATCCACATCTCTACCCTGTTCTTAGGATCTGAGCAGATTCTAAACTGATTGGTTGGTACCTTGTATCTTCTTATTTCTGAGGAATATAACACCTCAGATGAATTTTCTGACCTTGTCCTTGGATGGCTTACATTCTTCCTTATGCTTCTTCTCAAATTTTAAATACCTTTTAACTGAAAAAAAAAATACTTTCATGCTTCCATGAAGTTGAAGGAACCAGGTCTAGTTTAAGCTAAGTTTTTTTTACCAGTGGGATAGTGATTGTATTTCAAGGATCCAGTCCTTCTTATCCTTTGTACACAGTAAAAAAGTTACTAAAGTTAATGGTTCAAGCATTAAATGAGCCTATAGGCAGATGTAATATTTCTGTCAATTAGCACTTCCTTCTTGATTTGTACAGTGTAATTGAAATTGAGAACTGATTATTGTGAAGACATCTGAATAAGGGAGACCCCTTTTAGCCCTTTGTGGTTAGAGAAGTGTTGTCCTTATCCCACCTTTATCCAAGAGCAAGATTCAACGCTTGCTGTGACTTCTTGTTGAATCTTCCTATAGAATGAAATTTCATTAAACTTAGTTTCATTTTCTTATTAAAATAATAGCTGTGTGTCTGGCATCACTTCAGTTGTTCTCCTAGATTATAGGGTAAATGACCTGCTGATCTCCTTCTGATTGTTCAAGTTATTCAACAGCTAAAAGTCAGATGACTCTTTGCTTAACTGACATTAAGATTCGAGGAACTGAGATGGATGGTCTGCGGCAGCCTGAGCCAGCGTGGTTAGTGGCTGCTGCCATCCTGCCTGCTCAGTGCTCGCTGTCCTTTCCACTGGAGTCCTAGCTTCTCCCTCACACTTCCTTGGCTCACCTGACCCTGCCTTGTGTGATGGCAGAGTCAGAGTAAAGCTATTTGGGTTTTTTAGTAATTCACTTTTCTGCTGGCTTAGTATGCTGAGGTGGCTCAGCACAGATGAGTGGAGGAGCCAGTACACGACAGGGAGTGAAATCAGGGTGGGAAGGAGAAGATGACAAAGGCCATGGCCCCTCCTGCAACCACAGCTTAATGTAGACCTGGTGTATGTAGACACCGATTGGGCAAAACTTCATTAAAATTATCTCAGAATTGAAGAACTGGGCCAGAAGTCTTTAAATGCTGAATTGTGGATAGCATTGCTTTGTCATCTTCTAAGAAATGTAGCATCTCAGGAAGCTCTGCCATGCACAAGATGCAGGACTTTGTGCATTTAGCATTCCCCAGTGGCTAGGCTGTGAGACCCAGAGAACAGGCATGGTACAGGCAGAAGCACTAAACATGCAGGATGCTGCTATGATGTTATACTCCCAAACCAGAGGGCAGGAACATATTTTGGGGAGACAGGGACCGAGCAGTACCATGCATTTTCAAAGGCACATGTAACCTCCATTCTTGAGAAGTATTGAGGGTGATCTAGCCCTGCACCTCAAAGTCCTGTCTTTCCTACCCTATACCTATTTCAAAGCTAAGAGGCGATGTAGGCTTACTCTAGTGCAGAAGCCTGTCGCTGGCTTGGACTGAGCATCACTTACAATGCTAATATTAACCCCTTGGACTACCACAGTAAAAATAGTGGAGCTGGACCAGATCTAACAATAGCTTAGCCACTTGTGTGGGAAAGGATCCTGGAGCATTGACTTTTCTCTTTGTAGCCACCTTTTTGAGGTAGTTCACTGTCGTGACATTGATGTGGCTGTTTGGATGAAGTTTGGCCAAGGTGACAAGTTCTCCTGAACTTCTTCTGAAGTTCTTATGTGTATAGAGCTTTTGGTTGCCCTTGAAGATGCGTACGTTTAGCCTGTCCACTTAGAATCAAGCAGGTGAAACTCAGTTAAAATTACAACAGGGAGAATCTAAGCTATGTTGTTTGGGTGTTGGGGTTTTTTCCCCCTTTTAATCTTAAGGAAATTATTCTGATAATGGATGCAGTTGGTTAGGAGCTTGGCAGATGAGTGTACAGGAAAGGATGGTGCTCCATCCAGCCAAGTGCTGGCCTTCTCAGATAGTTTTTTAATGTCTTGGAGAAACACTTAAAATGTGAATCATTATTGCTCCTGGCTGACTTTGGATGAACTAAAAATTACAGTGGCTGAAAGCAAGCATTGACAAACTCTGTAATAAGAAAATATTTGGATATATCCTTGGTAGATTTATTTTTATCACCCAGGCTAGCCAGGCTGGTAGAAGCAGCAAGATTAGTGAAATAAACAAGTAGCTTTAGATTAAAAAAATAAAATAGCTTTTGTCCTTTGCAAGCCTACAATTGAAAGAAGTTATACAATAATGCCTTATAGTTTTATGTGACAATGTTAATATACTAAAGCTTTATAACTATTGTATTGGGGGTGGGGTGAATTGATCAATTCCTCCAAATCTTTATATTATTTGCTATGATACTACCTTATAGTCTGCTAATAATCCTGCTCTGTAGGTGTTAGAAAAGGAACGGTAAAACTGTTAGCTCAGTTGGAGCCAGGTCCTCCCATTTTGCATGTGAGAAATCTCACTAAATGGAAGTAAAGGTGCATGTGTTCATAGGCACCTTCATTTCTACAGCTTTCGGGGATTTCCTTCTGAAAGTCCGTGAGGTTTACATGCTTCAGTCACTTGTGCAACTCCAGGCATTCAATGCCTCTTCTCTATTTGAGACCTCTTGTATTGTACATAGAGACTTCTTCAGGTTGGGTTCTTCAGGCTGAAGCTGCTGCTTTCCTTCTAGCAGTTGGCTCTTTCCCCACTCTTAATGGTTGTTTTAGCTCATTTAACAGCAAATTTTAAAACGTTATTACCATGCTCATTACTTTGTCCTCTGTTTTGTTGGGACCATCCAATTTACATAGATATTTGTCTTCTAAGTGCCATTTTGTTGTGTTTTAAATCATCTCCACAGCCCTCTGAGCACCATTGTAAAAATCTTTAATGTGCCTTTTGTCTTTCAGATCTCACTGCTGGTTGGATTCATCAGCGTAAATAATTCTCCATGGACGGATTACAGTGCATACAGCTATTTTCAGATTGTTACCATGTGTGACTTGGTTATGATTTTGTTCTTCTACATTATCCACATTTTCAGAATCTACAGGAAGCTTACTTGCGTTAGCTGGCCACTTGCGGTAAGCCTGTTAGATGGTCTGGGTTCCTTGCCTCTCCTGTGAGTTGATGTCTCAATTACTTAGTCCATTTTCTTGTGCTATCACACAGTGATAGGCTGTCTTTCACGTAATTCTTTTTTGCCTTGCATACAAATCCTTTTGTTGCTTTTGTTGTTAGTATTCATTTCAGCAGATGCTGTAATTCTAAGTTTTTTAGCTGATTTGGATCTGCCCTCCTTTACACAGGTATAAATCCAGATTTACTCCAGGGAAGGCAATAGTGTTATTCTGAGACAATGGAAAAGAAGCTACTGATTATCAAGCCATCAGCAGATGGGTCCTAGCTCAGGGCATTTATAGCAGCTAAGGGATTGCTAGAGTACCAAATCATAGCATTAGAAATAATATACTACTTCCTGTCCCAAAATAAAGTCTACGAGTGCTATTTAAGTTAAATATGTCTCTTTTTGGTATGGTTTTAGGTAACTTAAACAATAGCAAGAAATAGGAGCCTCAGCCTGATTGCCATAGCCTGGCCATTCCTGGGATATCCTGCAGGATGTTCCTGCCTCATTCCCGCATTTCCCCTGCAGATCCATCTCTCATATCCTAGCAGAGAACTAACAAGCAGCACAGAAAATGTGAGACCCGAACTTCCTCAGTAGCTTTGAATAAGGTCAGCTAACAGAAGAGTCCTGTGTCCTAGTGTGGGATGATGGATTTTAATAACCTCTTGGAACATGTCTCCCTCACACATAGTGACATGTTAGTTCCACAGAGGAAGGACCAAAGGGATGGGGAAAGCCAACTGGAGAGATGTAGAAGGATTTTGAGATCCAAGAAGTGGTTGGATGGCATTTAATGGAAGCTATGTAAGTAGTTTACAGATCTAAGGTAACAGTTTGTCCATCCATCCACTTCTAACCAGAGAGAAAAATTTAATTTTCTTTTTAGCTGAGGAATACAGTTAGACTTGCACCCCCTTTTATTTTTTCAAATGTGTACCACCATCTGTCTCTAGAAAATACTTCTTTATCTGGAGGTAATACAGATGCAGGAATTGAAATAAGGGATTGAAATAAGCTAATAAATGGCAGCATTTAATGTGTGCATTGCTGTAACAGGACTATGCCATTTTGACCTCTGCATAGGCTGCTTTTGGTTTTTTTTTTGGTGTGTTTAATCATTCCTAAATGTTCCAGAGTCACTAGTGAGTTTAAGGCACTGCAGTTTGTGGCTGGTCAGCTTCAGATAGCCTTATGGGATGTGATGTTCGAACATGGCTGCTCTGTTACAACCAACTTCCTTTTCAGTCACATATTGAAGTATCTTTAGCACAGAATAGGAAGACCTGTAAGAGACTTTGGGAAACTACAGCTGGTGTTTGGCTGAGTTTCCTGGCAGGATCTCTACACTGCAATCAGGGGTGTGATTTGCAGTCAGTAAAGGTGCGGTGGTTCAAGAAGTTGTTTAGCACTGACGTCTTTTAAAGCTGGGAGGTATTTCTCCAGAGGGGCACTCTCTCAGCCCTGCCAGGGGTTGGTTCTCCACCTAATTTAGCATTTGATGATTCTTTTGCACCTTTGCCCATCCCTCAGATTCCTCTGAAGTAGTGGGCTGTGTACACTGGTTTATTTCATGTCTCTAAGGAGGCAGTGGCGTGCCTAATTTGCCTGCTGCATCCTGGACTAGCCAGAGAAGCCTCCTTATGGAAATAATTTATTCTAGCAAAAGCAAGGGTTGACATCTTGATTACCTGAAACAAGGTTACAAATGAGGAAAGTAAGTTGCAGTCTCAGAGCCTGCTTTATCGCAAAGATCCTCCTGAGCTGTTTATAAACACCTGAACAGAGGGAAGCTGTGGTATGGTATGATAGAATATTTCTGTTCTGGGATTTCCTTGAACAATTTCCTTTTGGGACTATATTCTTCCTCCTTTCGTTTGAGATGGAATCTCTCCTCTCCCTTATACATTGCATTTGCTTGGTTCATGCTGGTAGTGCAATGCAGATAACATAAGCAGATACCCTCCTGTCCACCCCACCATGCAAAAGAAACAACCCGTGTTCAGTTTGCAAACACCCATAGGTTGCCATAAACTTTGTGAGGATTCAAAATCTAAATCCACAGATAACCTCTGCTTATAACAAGGTAAAATTGACTCCTGGACTGATACTCATCACATTAGAGAAAAGCTTAGATGTGGTGCCTCAGTGCTCTCTCAGAAAAGCCAATGGCACCATGTTTTACTCCAGGACAGCTGGAGCCATCCTTACAGACTTAGGAGCCTGGGTGTTGGTTATGAGTGTCTGTGTAGTTGTGCTTTTTATGGCTTCCCACCTGTTTCCAGTCTTGGTTGATGTAAATTGTTAGTAACTCCTGCAGTAGATCCACTACTTGCTCTCTAAGATTATCTGAAGTAGGAGCATTCGGTTTTCCACTTATGCCATTTGCTCCCATTTGTTGCCATTTCATATAGGCTAGAGAACTATGCCCTTCTCCCTTCTTCCAGAACTGTCTCTTTAAGTAAGGTGCATACTCCATGCAATAAAGATACATGTTTTCACCCTCAGTAATGTACCATGTTGAATTGAAAGGATTGCATCCATACCCAGTAAGTAGATCCAGTGACATTAGTAGACCTGAAGATTGGCCCTCTTTCCTTTTTTGAACAGAAAGTCAGGTATGGTACAAAATCCACTCACAAAGTGTTTTTTTCTTTCCCCCCCCCTTTTTTTTTTCCTCTTTTTTCTTTGACTGGTGTTTTGTCCTCTGGGTTTGAGTCACCTTTGCCAACTTGTTTTCATTCTGAGGCATACTGAAATGCTTTCCTGATAAGTTTCCCTTCTGATGCAGGCTGTGCTTGTCTTTACAGGAGTTTCTTCATTATTTAATCGGTACAATTCTGCTTCTCATTGCATCGATTGTAGCAGCATCCAAGAGTTACAATTTGACTGGACTTGTGGCTGGAGCGGTAAGACTGTGTTTATTAGTCTTGACACTTTTTTATTGCAATATATATTAAGTAGGGCATTGGAAATCTATTACTTGTAATTTTATTTTCTTACAGACTTGCCTTGCTCAGTCTTACCTTCTAGCTCATTTCAGTGACTGTTCTGTAACACAATGCCAAGAAAAATATTTTGTTGTGAGACTCCGGTCTCACCACTAAAGTGGGTATTTGTCCTGTCAGAGAGTTGAAACCAAAGGCTCCTGCTTTAACTCATAGGAACTAATGTGTATAGGGGAAGAATTAAGACAGTTCCGTTTTGACAAGTCATTGTTGTAGCAGCTAGAAGTTGCCTAAAAGGTTTCACCCCAGCCTTCAGCTTTTGATGCCTCCTGCTCCTGAACAGACCCCTGTTCAAGATAATTTCTCCTGAGCTAAAACTCACTGGGGTCCTGGGCTGACTTACTGGAAAATACTCCCTGCCTCTGTTGGCTGGAGGGCTTTACAGAGAGAGGCATGACTTCTGAGTGTGGGCAACAGTATTTTCACAGTAGCAGGACCTGAAATACAACTCTTCCGGAATAAAGAATTACTTTCAGAAACTTAGTCCTGATGATGCAAACAGACTAGAAGACTTACCTGACTCTTTTATTTGGTAGATGGCAGGGAAAGACTTTTTTGAATGGGGCAGTAAAAGAGCAGTAATCAGAGGAATTAGAAGAAGTCTTTTCCTTGTTGCAGAATCCTAGTGAGAAGTCTAGAAGGTGAGACTCTGTGCTGCTGTCCAGCTTTTTCTCCCTCCTTGTACATGACTCTCAGTCTATCTTGCAGTCACTGTTTTTACAAGACATAAGCTGCTATTATACTATGGAAACTTTTTATTTTTTTAGTATATTGGCAGAATGCAATAAAAATCACGTTGGGGGGTCTGTTAATGTCATAAAATATGTAGCTGGATATACAAGAGTGTCCATACATTCATGGAATATGTGTCATTTAATGTTCTCTAAGCATTTGTGGTTTGTTTGTTTTCTCATCCAGACTTTCGGGTTCCTAGCTACGATCCTTTGTGTTTTAAGCATATGGTCATCTTACAAGGTTTCATGCATCACGCAGTCAACAAGTAAGTATCATGCTTAGTAACTGCCAGAATGCTTCCCAAAATGAATATTTATAGTTTCTGCCACAGGGCTGTGTCTACCTGGAAGGATTTATTAATGTCCTGTTCCTTGTTGCTCAAAATTACTCGTAAAGCAATAATTCCATATTTTCTGTCAACACAGACATTATCACAGCTACTGACAGCTGTTAACAACTAACTACAAGAGCAAACTAACTTGCTTCTAGCAAGAAGTGAATGTATGAGTGCTTTCTCTTCTCCCTCCCCCACCCTCTACCAAAAGAAGGCTTCCTGTGTATTCTGTAATCAAATAGATGAATTCGTTTGTGGCAATGCAAGTGACACTGTCTTCCTTTTCAAAGATGCATCTGTGTGACTCCTTCATCTCTGCAAGACATCTGCCTTACAAAATAGGATACCAAAGAGGAGCGTCCACTACTGAGGAGAGAGCATGGGTATTTTGTTACTAGCCTGGACAGCCGGTAGCGTTTGAAGATCTACTTGAATGCCTATGCAAAACAATGTTGTGAACCAAAGTTTTTTTGCTCTCCCCACTCCCCCCTCCCGCCCCCAAGAAGTTTATAATGGAGAACCTGCTTTTTATGAGCTTTACAGAGAAAGACAACTTCTGTCTCAGAAGCCAGGCTGTGGTCATTTCCAGCTATTTGCAATAAGTGCATTTAAAACTTATTTGGAGAGTCATTTGGTTCTCCTTTCAGAGGGATGGAAAAATTCCTTCTGATTTCCTCCATCTGTTTACAGAAGGAATATCCTGAAAATTCCTACCTGATTCTTAACTTCCAAAGGTGATTTGTTTAACGAAGGAACTGTTACAAACTGATTTGTGCCTGGATAAGCTGACCCAAGTCTTTGTTACCTCTTTCTATCACAACTGTGGACTTTTTCTAACATCAGCTCAGCCAGCACCAAAAACTATGAACTGCAACTTGAATACATCATTGCAAACACTCCCTACTAGCCCCAACAGTACATGATGAAATCAGGTTTTTTTCTCCATGAATTTTTACAGGTTATTAACAACCAAAGATTATTCTTAAAAACTTCCCTCTGCCAAATACAAGAAAATACATCTCCAAGAATATGTGTTTAATATTTTGTGGGAACTTTTTTTTTGCCTTTTCACAAATATTCATTTGTAAAATGGGTATTTGTAAGACCTGTTCTGTAGAAAATTTCTATGCATTTCCTATAAATCATTCTCTTTGGAGTCTAACAGTGTTTATGGAAAGGCCATTGTGAATTCTTTCGCTCCTGCCTGCGGTTTGTCCCTTCCTCTGCCTCTGCTGGGATCCATGCTTTTAGAGACTCTGCCCAGAGCCTAGACAGGCGGAACAATTCAGTTTTGTCCAAGCTGGTATTGTCATGAAGTTCGATGTAGCTTCAAGGCTGAGACAATGCCTTCTTGGCACCTTTGTCTTTCTCTCCTTTTGCAGTCCATCTCTGGTGAGCTGGAAATTCTTTGCAGGAAAAAGGGAAGCACAGGCCCCTTGTCCTTGATGCTTCCCCTTTTGTGTCTAGCTGTGAAGTAGAACTTGTACTTATAAGTTGGTCTCTTCTGTCAGAACAAATGCATGATGGTGCAGCAGGTTTCTGCAACAAGTAGGATTTGTACAGTTTACCAGGTTCAATCTGGAGGAAAAAAGCATTTTCTGGCCTGCTACACATTTTTCTGTTTGTCTGTGTTGTGGTTTAACCCCAGCCGGCAACTAAGCACCATGCAGCTACTTGCTCACTGCCCCCGCTTTGGTTGGGGGAGAGAATCAGAAGGGTAAAAGTGAGAAAACTCGTGGGCTGAGATAAAAGACAGTTTAATAGGTAAAGCAAAAGCCACCACACAAGCAAAGCCAAACAAGGAATCCCTTCACCACTTCCCAAGGGCAGGCAGGTGTTCAGCCATCTCCAGGAAAGCAGGGCTCCATCATGCCTAACCGTGACTTGGGAAGACAAAGGCCATCACTCTGAACGTCCTCCCTTCCTTCTTCTTCCCCCCAGCTTTTTATTGCTGAGCATGACATCATACGGTCTGGAGTATCCCTGTGGTCGGTTGGGGTCAGCTGTCCCAGCTGTGTCCCCTCCCAGCTTCTTGTGCCCCCCCCGCCTCCTCGCTGGTGGGGTGGGGGGAGGAGCAGAAAAGGCCTTGGCTCTGTGTGAGCCCTGCTCAGCAGCAATGAAAACATCCCTGTGTTATCAACACTGTTTTCAGCACAAATCCAAAACACAGCCCCATCCTAGCTACTGTAAAGAAAGTTAACTATCTCAGCCAAAACCAGCACAGTCTGAAATTCTGCGTCAATACTGCTAAGTAATTTAATGGTCCTCTCAGAAAATTCTTTTTGTGCCTCATAGCAGATCATCATACATTGCCATTTGTTGACACCTGATATTTTTCTCTCATTCTAATATGTGTATCTTTACTTTGATTTTTTTTTTTTTTTTTGACAAGAGAAACTGGCCAACTGCTAAAGTGTCAAAAATTTTGAGTAAGTACTTGAAAACAACTGAGCAGATAACCTGGAAAGGCAGCAATCCCCCTCTTCATGGTGCACAGTTTCTGTGATTCTGCTTGCTGTTGCTTTTCACAAGTGCCCTATTTACAGCAACATAGAGCAGGAAACAATTTGAAAGCACTAAAGTCTGCTGTTTGTGGATGGAGATACACATATTCACTCCAAGATAAACTGCTTTGACATTAATATAGAGGATTATTCAAATAAAACTATATAATAGGGAGTTATAACATTATTAATTTCATATTGACAATTTTTTATTTCTTTACAATGTCCAACTTTGGCCTGCTTTTCTGCCCCATACCTTCAGATGACATATTTTGTGTTTGGTCAGAAATGGGTCACTTTTTTCTTTTTAACAACCTGAATTGAGCGTGCCTCAAAGGTTCTCTGGCTTAAGAGAACAGACATCCTTCTCAGCTAGAAATCCACTGTCAGCAGAGTCAGTGATGGTTCAGGCTTCCTTGCCCTGCCAGGCTGGGCAGGACTGGTCCAAAGGACATACATGACAAGGGACTTAATTCTGGGCACTTTGAGTGAAAATACCTGCAGAAGGTACACAGACACACATGTGTACACACACATATGTATTTTTTTGCAAGAGGGGTGCTTGATCACCAGTTCTCCTGCCAAGACTGACTTAACTACAGTTTTTGGAAACCAGCACTCTGACTTTAATTTGGAGTGACATGGTAGGTATTTAAGGATACAACCTCTTCTGTTCCCTCAGAGGAAAGAGAAGTGCTCTATTTCTCCTTCACCTCCCAAGATATCACCTCAGATGATTGATAGTAGGCACCTTCCTACAAGCTTTAACCCCTCTTGGCAATCCTGTGGGAAACCCATGTTCTGCTGCACACAGCATAAATGCAGCTGAGACCTCAGGGCTATGGTGGCTGTGGGGAGAAGCACCTGCTAAGAATTGGGGATGGACCCTGAGCTTGCTCTGAGGAAAAGGCTGTTTCCACTCTCTGCTGGAATGGTGTCCCCTCTCCTGGCACTACACTAGCATCTTTTTTTCAGCCTCCCACATCACTCTGTCACTTGTCAGCATGTGGGGGAAAAAAAAAAAAAAAATAGGGGGAATTTCATGCAGTCTGACAACCAAAGAATTTCTGAACTATGCTCTGTGATCATCCAAAGAATATGCTTTGCTGCAAGTGCACTTGTTCATATTGGATCAAGAGAAGTAAATTACAAGTTCCCTTTTGGTTTTTGTGCCTATCGACAGGTCTAAGGTATGCCTGCAGCTTTTTCTGTTAATGACAGTGCTGGTTCCATAGACCCACCAGATAGATACTCTTACTGCAGGATGCTTTCAGGCTGGAAAACTGACATCTCTGCTGCCAAAGCTTCCTCGCTTCCCCCAAATCCTCCTTGTGAAACATGTCTACCAAGAAAAGCACAGGTTTTGCTGGTATCACCAGCTCTACCGGCGGTCTTTGAGTGACAGCTCCGTCTGGCAGGGACTTTGGCACCTCACTACTGTAGTCGTGCCAGCAAAAGCGTTATAAGTTTCCTTTGGTGTCAACCTGGTTCTGAAAGCTCCATCTGTCTGCAACTTCGTCAAATATGGGATTCCAGCTGTTTTAGAAATAAACTATGTTTGCTATTTGGATAATGTAAAGGCTTTGAGAATCAGATTGTTGTCTTGCTCATTTTTTTCCTTCCTCTACTAGAGCAGTGACTTTCTCTCTGGGGAGTGTCAGAATACATCCTGTAACTGGAGGCCAAGAGGTAGGAGCCACAGAAAAAAAACATTCCCCTGCCATTGTGTTCGGATGTGCTGGTCTCTGACTATCCCACGCAAAAGTTGTCCATCCTCTTCAGCTTCAGGAAGAGTGTAGTATATCCCTTGAGCCAAAACAGGTAGAGTTTGGGGTTCAGTTTTACTGAAAGTTAAAATGTAAACATTGGGAGGAGAAAATAGGTAGTATAAACTGTTTCATGCTGCCAGAAAACTAAACCCTGATGTTTGAGCTCTGGGGGCTTGAGATAAGTTAGAGAGTGAATAGTGCTTTTGTCAGGTAGAAACTGGGAAGATGAGAAGGGGAAATGAAACTTTTAAAAAAAGAGGAAGGGTGGCTTTGAAAAGCTTGAGGACCACAGTACTGGATGAAGACACTGCAAGTTATGTGACAGCTTGCACACTTTTTCTGTTGCTCTGAAATGGTTGTGCTTTGCATTGTGTGAACTATGAAGGAATGGGTTCTTTGCTGCTAAAAAACTTTGGGAACAAATCACTATGTGGGGGATAGCAGGACACTAGGGTAATGATAACTTTTAATGAATGGGGTGAGGAGGCAGCAGTGTTGAGTGATGCTCCAGGGAAGAGGACTAGGAGCTTATTAGGACAAAAAAGGAGCAGGAGACAAGGAAGAGCAAGTACAAAAATTAGTAGCTTATGAGAGGAGGAACTACTGTGGGCACGTTATGCACTAATAGAAATGCTGGCAGATACGAACAGTTTCTGGCTGTGTCAGTACTTAAAGGGCAGACCTGCCTGGAGTAATGGAAAAGTCTCTCTTCTGCTTGCCTGCTATGTACACTTCATACCCTGTGTCTGGGATTTTCATGTTCTGCTAAAGCTGCAGGACGATGCATTAAACCTGACCGAGAGGCTGCGGAACATGCCATCAAATTGCCTCATGTTCTGCCCTATTTTAACTTATAATTGCTCAGGGCTCCACTGTTCTTAGAGACAGCACGGAGCAAAATGCTGCTGCTGAGCATGAGAGGCTGTGTGCTGGCCAGTGGCCTTGGCCATCCCTCTGGCTAGAGGCAAAAGTACAGACCTGCTTTTAGACTGAGTGCCACCTGAAAGCCAAGGAAAGCTGAGTTACGTATCACTGTGCCCTACTGATGAGCCTGACACTGGGCTGACATTCAGGAGGTGCTGCTGGTTGTGTGAGATGGGGAGAAGTGGGTACCAGAGAAATG